CCGTATGGGCTGCGGCCGGGAGGCCCGCGGTGACCGAGCCTCCACCCCTCCCAGCACGACACACCGTGCCTCAGTGTTGCTATGGCTTCTGCATTGACCTGCTCATCAAGCTGGCACGAACCATGAACTTCACCTACGAGGTGCACCTGGTGGCGGATGGCAAATTCGGCACCCAGGAGAGGGTAGGCCTGCTGGAAGGGTGGGCCAGAGGGAGGAACCTTGGGTGGGCGGGGCCTTCCCAGGAGGAGGCAGAGGAGGGGCCCAAGGAGGGGGGGGTGGGTGCTGAAGCTGAAAACACCAATGGGTGGAGCCTGAGGCTGGGTGGAGCCTATGAGATGACTGGGCTATGGACTGGGCGGAGTCTTGCGGTGGGTGGGACCTTGGAATGGGCGGTGCCAGCAGCTAGGCAGATTCTGGGAATGGGTAGAGCCTTGGCTTGGGCAGAGTCTTGAGGTGGGTGTGGCCTGGTTGTGGGCGGGGCCTGGCAGATGGGCGGAGCATTGTCCTGGGAGGAGCCTTGGCGCTGGACTGTCTGGAGCAGGTTAGTCCAGGAGTGGAAGGTCCCGTGCAGTCGCCAACCCTCCCCACAGAACCTTTGGCTCTGTCGCCACACAGGTAAACAACAGCAACAAAAAGGAGTGGAATGGCATGATGGGCGAGCTGCTCAGTGGGCAAGCAGACATGATTGTGGCACCACTGACCATCAACAATGAGCGGGCGCAGTACATTGAGTTCTCCAAGCCCTTCAAGTACCAGGGCCTGACCATTCTGGTCAAAAAGGTGGGCAGAGGTCAGGTGAGGTGGGCTGTGGCCCTGGGCTGCCCCGCAGCGCTGACCACCTGTCTGCCTGCAGGAGATCCCCAGGAGCACCCTAGACTCGTTCATGCAGCCCTTTCAGAGCACACTGTGGCTGCTGGTGGGGCTGTCCGTGCACGTGGTGGCTGTGATGCTGTACCTGCTGGATCGCTTCAGGTGAGCGCCACAGGGCGCCAGACAGACGCCTCCATTTATCAGGTGGGCAGAGCGGGGAAGGGGTGGGGCGGGACACTTCTCCCGCCCTCTCTCCCACCTGCCCTTTGCACCCTGCAGTCCCTTTGGCCGATTCAAAGTGAATAGTGAGGAAGAAGAAGAAGATGCGCTGACTCTGTCATCTGCCATGTGGTTCTCCTGGGGTGTCCTGCTCAACTCTGGCATTGGAGAAGGTGAGGCTATGTGCCCAGCCCTGCCTGCTCTGCCCCTTCCCTGCCCTGCCTGCTCCGCCCCTGCCCTCCAGACGCTGACTGGAGTCTGCCTCCAGGTGCGCCCCGGAGCTTCTCGGCGCGCATCCTGGGCATGGTGTGGGCCGGCTTCGCCATGATCATCGTGGCCTCTTACACTGCCAACCTGGCTGCCTTCCTGGTGCTAGACAGGCCCGAGGAACGCATCACAGGCATCAATGACCCACGGGTAAGGCCTGGCTGGGCTGCCAGAGGGGACCAGAAGTCTACCCGAGGCAGAGCCTGAGGAGCAGCTGCAAGCTCTGCCCCCTGCCCCTGCAGCTCAGGAACCCCTCCGACAAGTTCATTTATGCGACTGTGAAGCAGAGCTCGGTGGACATCTACTTCCGGCGGCAGGTGGAGCTGAGCACCATGTACCGGCACATGGAGAAGCACAACTATGAGAGCGCCGCAGAGGCCATCCAGGCCGTGCGGGACAAGTGAGTGGGCTCAGAGCGGAGCTGCATCTCGCTGAGCGGGCTGGCAAGGGGGGGCAGGGGACCTCCACATGCACACACACAGGACAAGAAGACCCTGGGGTGTGAGTGGGCAGGGAGCCCATTCATGCCAGGACCCACAACCCCATCCCTGCTGACAGCAAGCTTCACGCCTTCATCTGGGACTCAGCTGTTCTGGAGTTCGAGGCTTCCCAGAAGTGTGACCTGGTAACCACAGGAGAGCTGTTCTTCCGCTCTGGCTTTGGCATTGGCATGCGCAAGGACAGCCCCTGGAAACAAAATGTCTCCCTGTCCATACTCAAGTGAGTTGGCCCAAGCATCTGTGTCTACTCTCCCCAGTGCCGAGCCAGACTGCAGCCAGTCCCTGTAGCAAGCACAGGGACTGACTGCACCTGCCTGTGGCAGGCCCCAGCCTACACGGGAGGCGGGGTGTGTGTAGGGGACACCAGGGGGGAGGAGGGCACTCCTGCCCCCAACCAGCCACAAACCTGCCCAGGCGCACTCCACACCCCAGGTCCCATGAGAACGGCTTCATGGAAGACCTGGACAAGACATGGGTCCGGTACCAGGAATGCGACTCTCGCAGCAATGCCCCTGCAACCCTCACTTTTGAGAACATGGCAGGTAGGCCTTTCAGCCTTCTGTTCCCCTCCACCAATGTGCTCACCTGGGGATGGCTCTCCAGGGGCTGCAGTCTCTGAGCCAGCAACTGAGCCCTCAGGTCCCACGCACAGGGGTCTTCATGCTGGTGGCTGGCGGCATCGTGGCGGGGATCTTCCTGATTTTCATTGAGATTGCCTACAAGAGACACAAGGATGCCCGCAGAAAGCAAATGCAGCTGGCCTTTGCAGCCGTGAACGTGTGGAGGAAGAACCTGCAGGTAGGGCAGGCCACCCTCCGAGGCCTGGCGCCACGGGCCCGGCCTGGCCGCGCCCCTCCTCCGTCCCTGAAGGCTGTGGCTCTGGCTCTGGCTCCCGTGGGCAGGACTGGAGCTAGGAGCCACGGCCAGGGCCAGCGGTGAGTGCTCCCGGGGCACAGGTGCAGCCCTGGTAGGAGGCTGTCCGCAGGTGGCCATCCCACTAATCTGGGTCAAGGGAGGTCACACGCCCTTCTCCAAACCTCTGCCTGGCCCCTCTGTCTCCAGAGTCCGCCTGCCAGCACCCATTCCGTAGGAAGGCAAACAGGCAGGGTAAGACAGGGGTCCACCTGTGTGCAGCCCATGGATCTGAGATGCATTTGGCCCCCGGTGCCCACCGCCCCTGGACGCTCTTGGGGAACCCCCTTCCTGGGTCCTTCAGCTCCGTGACTCTCATCTGCATGGGCTGCCCTGCCCTGCCTGGTGCCCATGCCCTGTCCATGGGGACTTCCTGCCAGCGGGGGGGGGGCAAGGCCGCTCGTGGGGCAGTCACGGCGCTCCGGGGTGGGGACAGTGGGCCCTGGGCTGGCAGCCTCCGATCAAGGTCTGGTTTGCTCATCTCTTCTCTTTCTCTGGGTGCCTTCCTGGAGCTGTGTCCTGAGCTAACACTGGCATTTCAGTGAGGACAGTGGGGACAGGGCTGCTGGAGCCCTCATACCTCTCATCCGCCCGTTCTTGTTCTTGGCTACAGGTCCCCTGGGGACCGGGCCACAGCCCTCACTGGTGGGCACAGGGCGACCTTGGTCAGACTCCAGGCCAGCATCCCGGAAGCTGCCTCTGTCTGTTGCTCCAAATCCATCTGGACACCTGCCTTGGCCCTGGGCCTCTTCCGAATCTTGGTGTGTGTCCCCCTTGGGGTCAGCAGCCTGCAAACAGAAGGGCAGCTGATGTGGCATGAAGGGCAGTGCCTCCGGTCCTCAGGGCTCCTCAGGACATCTGTAAGCCAGGGCCACCCGGGAGCTGGGGAGCCAGGCCGACCTCCCAGGAAGAGAGCCAGCGGGACCCCGAGTCCAGCCCCAGCACAAGCAAGGTCAGGCCGGAGACCTGGGCCAGAAGAAGCCACAGTCAGTCCGTCTGTCCAGCACAGGGAGGCAGACAGAGCAAGGGCCCGAGTGGCCAGCCAGGCCTGGCAGCGGCCCCAGGAGCAGACGAGGGCAGGTGTGGCCGCCACCCCCAGCCATCTAATCGCTTATACATATTCATTTTAGGATAGAAAGAGTGGTAGAGCAGAGGCTGACCCTAAAAAGAAAGCCACATTTAGGGCTATCACCTCCACCCTGGCCTCCAGCTTCAAGAGACGTAGGTCCTCCAAAGACACGGTAAGGGGGGCCCCCCAGTCCCGCGTCTTCGAACCTCCCCGCCCCATGTCTGCCTCCCCTCCTTGGCCATCCCACCCCCGCACCCACTTCTGCCCCGGCCGCCGGACTCAGCCCCCAGCACCGCCCCCCGCACACACCGCGCTGCCGCCAGGGCTCTTTGGCCCCCTCCCAGCCCTCTCTGGTCCTCAGCTTCCCTTGTGTGTCTCTCGTTAGTCTGCCCGCCCCTCCCCCATGCCGTGACCCCCCACACCATTCAGAAGCCGTCTCATGTTGTCGGTTGTCAGTCAGTCAGTCAGCCTCACCACCTCTCTGGGCCGCACCTGGACCCTGGGAGCCAAGTGGCCCTGTCTCAGGTTACCCCTGCCAGGAGGCCACACTGCTCCTGAGCCGCCTCCCCGGGGCCCGCCGCCCTCATTCCGCCCTGCGGGGCGGCTCTGATGTCCCATCACGTCCGTCTGTCTGGCCGCTGGCCCTGCCCCCCAGACACCTGTCTCACCTGTTTCACCAGAGCCATGCGTGTCGCATCTTCCATGTGGTCTCTGTGTGGGCGGGGGCTGGGGGCTGGGCCGGGGTCCATCTGGGTGGATGGCTGGGGCCTAGCATTGGAACCAGCCCCTGGCTGTGGGGCTGTCAGGGGAGGGGGGCAGACGGGTGGCTTCCATCCTGGTGGAGCAGGGCCCTGTCTGAAGTGTGGTGACAACTCCAGATCTGAGGACACCTCAAGTAGCCCTCTGAGCCCTGCCTGAGCACCAAGGCTAACATTAGGGCTCCCATGGGGAGGCCTGGAAAGGAGGTTCTCAGGAGAAGGGCCAGGAAGGAAAGGCCAAGACAGGCCTCAACTCTTGCTCCTAGACACCCCCTTCTCCCACAACCAGTCAGCACTAGGCCTCCAGTCTTTTGAGCCCAGAGCCTTGTCTCCTGCCTTAGGGCACCTGAAATGCACACTTGGACTACAGACCCACAAAGCACAGGGCCTTGCTAGAGATACTCTGACTCCCCAAGGCAGCCCTGGCAGCACAGACCTCAGCCTACAAGAAGCCCCCCCCAACCAGTGGGGCACCCCAAATCAGCTTGCGTCCCAGGGAGAGACCAGGATGTGCCCAGGAAGCTCTGGGTGGGACCTCCAGGGGGCCCCAGAGGTCTGGCTGCCCATGGCCCAGGCGGTGCTGGCAGCCGGTGGGGAGAGGCTTTGTGGACCAGAGCAACCGTGGCTCCAGGAGTTGGGGCAAGCACAATCCCCAGGACCGGCAGGCCATGCGGGCCGGGCAGAGTCGGACCCAGGCCCCGCCAGGGGGCGCAGGGAAGCAGGAGAGGGCAGGGGAGCACGGGGGACTTGCTGGGAAAGAAGACATCTCCTGGTAGACAGCAGCAGCAGCGTCCGGAGGCCAGGTGGCCACAGGGGAGGAAGCACAAAAGCCCGGCAGGTGACAGGCCACGCTCAGAGGGCCTGCGCCCTCGCGGGGGCTTGCTCCCGGTGGGCGCTCCCCGCCTCCGCGGGCAGCGAGGACTCCGGGACCAGCCCTGCTGCCGGGTGGCATCTCCGGCTGGC